GAAGATTAAACGCATCAAATTTGGCCATCAAAGATTCCATAAGTTTACATTTTTCTTTATGCCATGTGATATAGGCTGCTCTAACTTCGCGTCTGATACGTTTATATGTAGATTAAGAACAATTTCTTTTAATTTTATTAACATGTACGAAATAATACTGAGCAAAGTTGATAACGCCATCTAGTGTATTTTTCGGTAATATTATCATATATATATATATAAAATTATCCTGCGCCATCAGCGAAGAAACTTCCATAATTTTGTCACTAAATTTTGTTCTTTATTTCCTATGTGTATATAGTGCTCTAACTTCGCGGTTCTGATACGTTTATATGACCTAGATTAAGAACACTTTCTTTTACTTTTACAATTAACATGTACGAAATAATACTAAAATTGATAACGCACTAGTGTATTTTTCGGTAATATTATCATATATATTATATATATAGATATATTATAGCGTATATATATATATTATATATATATATACATAATATTCAAATTATCCCGAGCAATCTACCGACAGCGCGGAAGATTTAAACTTCCCGAAGTTTGTCACGTAATTCGGACTAGATTGGGTGCATCTATTTACCGTAGGTACATTATCTATGACGTACGCTTCGGGCGAGAAAATTTGATTCCCTTTTACGAAGTAAACTATTGCTTGACTATAATCCCACCAGATGATAAGAAGATTATTATTAATAAGAATTGCTTTAGATCCTGGGTTTCCAAAGTGTGCGTCGCGGCGCTTTAGGGCAACGTAAGGAGTAAGTAGGGGCGCCGCTTCTGAAACAATAGTCTTAAAACTTACCATTACAGCCTATTAAACACTTCTGAACATAGGCCTCCCCTAGGTTTTAGGTTTAAGTTACTTTAAGTACGAACGCTGTAAGAATTCTCAGCCCTTTGCAACATCCTATTTATGCGATGCTAAGTTTTCGGCTTTAGCTGTTTCAATATAATAAAGAGCAAATATAACCAAATGTGGAGCAAAGTAGTAGTATCAAGTCTTATTCAGCATTTTGAAAAGAACTTGTGGAGATCAGTAAGGTTACACGATTGACTAACTTGTCATTGAAAGTTTGTTAGGTTTTTAACTTTTGTATTTTAATTTTTATGTATGTTATACTACTTGCTGTTCCCCGCGACTTCGTCCCCTAATTCTTCGTACCGTAATTCTTTTTCTAAAATAAAAGTAGCCTAAGTTACAAAGTTTTAAGTACAACATCAGCCAGTGAAAATCCCGCAAAATCAGTCCAGCCATTTTGGAGATTAGCCGGAACAAACAGCCAGACAGATAGACAAAAATTATGAAAAATAGTTTTTTTCTTATTTTTCTTATAAATACCATATAATATAATTTCATATGCATATAGTAAAAAGCTGTTATTTTGACATTACAAACAGCCACTTCAGTTTTATTTATTTGTGTAGATTTTTGAAAAGGTTGTTTCAATTTCTTTGTCTTGTTAACGTCATTTCACACATAATTAACAAGGGCGCAGTGACAAAATAAATCTAAATGCGCTGAGAACTGAAAAAGTTTGGGAACCCCTGATTTAGATTATAACCCGAGTTATCTAATGACATCAGATTAATTCGTAGTTCATAGTGCCGCGAGGGCTCATCATGACGCCCAGGCGACCGCTTGGTCGCCTCTTTCTAAAGCCATTACGATTCTAAATGAGGCTGATCTGGCCGAAAAAGAAACTCAATATGTGACCTTTTGAAATTATTTAAGGTTAATTAATTATTTTGGGTTACTATCAGGGCCCAGGCTACCATATGTGCAAAGTGTGTAATGCACACAGGCGCCATCCTTTAGGGGCGCCAAAACCCAGGGTCAAAAATTGCAAAAATTTCCAAAAAAAAAAAACAAATATTAATTTTAAAATAAAAGTTGAGAAATTAAATAGGATTAGGTATAAATACACACGAAATTTTCTTTGTATATCATCCAGTTACTGCCGATTCCTATGTTGCGAGAACATGTCAGGCGGTAGTTTCTTGATTTTTCCTGTTCAGACATGAACAGTGCCCGGAGAGCTATAAAAGCGATGCATCGCCAAAGGCGTTTACATCAGTTCCGTTTGCGCACCGCTCCCGAGCGGCAGTGCATACTGTCCGCACTCCGTCCTTGTACGGTAGTGTAACCTCTCTCCTCAGCTCACACCGGGCGAGCAGACGCTGTCGGTGAGTTCCTTTATTTTCGCATCGTTCCTGCCCCCTCGCTTCGGCGAGGAGGTTTGAGCGCGCTTTGCTTTTATTTTTAATTTTTTTCTGTTATTGTTTTATTATCGTTATACTGTTATTTTGTTGTTTGTTACTGTTCTTGGAAGATCGTCTCTTACTCTTCTCAGAGCGAGCCCTTGTTCTTGTCAGAACATAGAGACCCCAGCTTCTGGGAATGGAGCATCAGTCTTTCCCATCCCTGGCCCTGTTCTTCTCAAAACAGGGACCTTAAGATTCTTAGACTAAAATCGTCACCCCCCTGTCCAAATCAACATGTCTGCCATAGACATAAGCAATTTCGCGAGCCAACTTATGGCCATGGTCGCCCAATTCGTCCAAGCCTCAGGCCTATCCATCCAAATTAACGAGACCGCTCTCGGCAACGCCTTTTCTCCCATTGCCCCTAAGGCATGTGTCCCCCCGCCCGCCGTCGCGGCTTTCCTCGCGACCCAAGTGTCTGCCCTACTGCTGAGACCGACTCGCCCGCATCCCCCGACTCCGATATGGAGCACTCGGACACCACGTCCGTTACCTCCTCCTCCCGGAAGAAGACCGCCCACAGCTCCACCAGCTCCTAGGAGTCATCCGACTCCGAAAGAACGGTCACCGATTCTGCCCAATTCACGCTAGTGAAATCCAAGCGCGGCTCGAAGCGCGCCGCGACTTCTCGCACTCCCCCCGCCCCGGCGGCCGCTCCGCTGCCCGCGCACCCCCCGCCGCTGCCTCAAGCTCCGCAGCTCCGATCGTTGCCCCTACCTCCGCAGCACTAAACGCTGCCCCCTCTCAGTCGCAAGACACTACCGCCAAGCCAGCAACCCGCTGCACTCCCAAACTGACTAAAAGCCAAATCCCGCCCCCTGTCTTTCTCAGAGACAAGGCGGAATTCACCAAACTGTCAAAAACCCTCTACAAAAAGGGTTTCAAATATGACCAAGCCACCAATGTCGGCGAGGCCATCAAAATCATGCCAGCATCTATAGAAGACTTCCGGAACATCACTCGTCACTTCACGGCCGAGCGCGTGTCCTATCACACGTACGCTCTCGCCGAGGAAAGAAAAATAAAAGCAGTCTTCCGCGGAGTTCCTCACGAACTCACAAACGAGGACATCTTAGATGATTTAAAGTCCCAGGGCTTCCCTGTCGAGGCTGTGCACAAGATGCACAGCAGCAGGGGCGAGAGTTTCAATCTCGCCCTACTCGTACTCTCAAACGTGCCGAAGGCGAAGGCCATCTTCCGCGAGGTACGCACTGTGTGCGGCCTGTCGCGTGTAAAGGTCGAAGCCCTACACCGGCGCGTTTACCCAGCGCAGTGCCACCGCTGCCAACTTTATGGGCACGCAGCAGCCAACTGCTCAGGCCCACCCAGGTGCGTTAAGTGCCTAGAACCCCATCACTCGAAAGAGTGCCCTCGGCCCAAAAATGCCGAATCCCCACCCGCATGTGTCCTATGCGGACAAACAGGCCACCCGGCCAATTTTAGAGGCTGCCCTCGCGCTCCTCGCCCACTTCTGAGCAACAAAGCTCCACCTCAGGTCAATGACGGAACTTTCCCGGCTCTTGGAAGCCGCATGCCCCACCAGGGTCTGCCCCTACCACAGCCCCCTCAGGGCTCATCTCAGCCCACACAGGGCATCTATCGGCCCCCTCAGGGCCCCTATCGGCCACCTCAAGGCCCTCCTCGGCCCTTTATGAGCCTTCCGCTCTCCCAGCCTGCGCCGCTCCCAATAAATCCTTGGTTCCCAAAGGCAACAAATATCCCACGGCCCTCTGCCGCCCCACAAAAACAGGCAGACCCTATAGTAGATGATCTAAGCCTAGTGTCTAACACTGTGAGTAAGATCAATATAGGAGAAATCTCTATCCTTGCGCGTAAACTGCACGCTGCTCAGTCCCTTCAAGACCGTCTCCTTGCTCTTGCTGAACACATCGATATATTAAGGTCGTTGTAAAAACACTATGCCGGAGCCCTCTGCTCCCGCAATATCGCACGGTCTTATCAAACCAAAGGGTTTGTCGCTTGTTTCGTTCAATATCCGCGGTTTGCGAAATAACCTCCCAGAGCTTAGGCTCTTTCTCCGAGATCGCGAAGCCGACCTCCTCCTCCTTCAGGAGACCCAACTCAGCCCTAAGGTCTCTAAAGGCCTCTCTATCAAAAGTTATTCACTTCTTTGTAATGACAGACAGACCCGACCGCAAAGGTGGCGGTACTGCCATTTATTACAAAAAGTCCCTTCATTGCTCCCACATCCCCACTCCGACGCTTACCAGTATAGAAGCCACTATCACTAGATTAGCCATAACTGGACACCAGTCTATCATTATAGCCACTTGCTATATCCCTAGCGGAACCCTCCCCGTTAAGAGTGATTTCGAGGCCATCCTTGCACTAGGCGACTCAGTCATTATGTTTGGAGATTTTAACTCCAAGCATCTCTTTCGACGACCAACTGTCAAACTGTGAACATTACGTAGTGATCGTCTCCGCATTTTTAATTAGTAACAATAGTAGAAAAGTGACCGATCGGAAAAAAAGTGCACTAAAAATAGCAAACAAACAGTGTTAATAAATTTAAACTAATAATCCTTTCGTGGGAAGTGCTAAGTACAGTGAAATAACCATCGAAAATTTGCAAAATTATTTTGAAGTTATTAAATACCATAGACAAAAATTGGAAGTCCAACACACAAAAGTTGCCAGGACAAGCAAAAATCTACCAATTTGGTAGAAAATCGGTACCAAGTATGGACGAACAAACAAAAATGCTGTTGGCCACTATAAAGGAAGAGATTGAAAAACAAAATGATAAACAAACCCAAACCATAACCGAGACTATCATCAAAACTATTGAAGAGCAACTGTTACCAATAAAAAAGGAAAACGAAGCTATGAAGTCTGAGATTTTGCTACTAAGATCGAAAGTAAAATATCTGGAACTTGAAACGAGGAAAAATAATGTCTTACTGCACGGGGTTGAAGAAACTGAAAATAACAATCTAGAATTAATGAATACTGTAATAGAACTATTAAACGTTCCCTGCACAACAGAACAAGCGGAGGAAGAGAAACACGACTGGGACAAATGGGAACTTAGCAGCATATACAGAGTTGGGAAAAAGACAGAAGGCAAGATAAGACCTATAAAAATTTCATGTACCCTAACATGAAGAAGAAACGAAATCTTGAAAAAGAAGAAAAAATTCCCAGAAGGAGTCTACGAACGACGAAGGAGTCTAGTCTACAGAAGATCTGTCTAAAGAGGAACAGGAAGAAAGAAAGACTCTTATCCCAAAAATGAAGGAAGCCAGAGCATCTGGAAAGTATGCAACAATAAGGAATGGCAAACTAATTATACGAGACAAAATGGAACCTGAAAAGAGGAAGAGAGCCCAATCCACCCCACCTTCTACTCCCCCAGACAACTTCAGCAAAGCCCCTGGAGAACCCAAGTTATACCAACCTGCTAAAATGTCGAGAATCAACCCAGCAGAAAGAATGAGAAGCCAATCAAATCCGAATACAGAGGAGACATCAAAAAAAAACTAGAAATAGGCGGTAGTCGAAATAAAAACAGTAAAACAACGAATACCACCAAAACCAAATTAACATTCCCCAACCCGGCTGGTCCCCGTGGGGAATTAGACCACCACCCACCAACCTACAAAATAACCAAACAAACATACACTACTAAACAAACATACACTAGAAAACAACAAGAAAAACAACAACATTAACAACAAAGAAAAATGTAATGCCCCCTTTAAAGAAAGTATACAAATTGCAGCACTTAATGTTGTAACCCTAAAGTCGGACGAGAGTCTAACAGAACTAAATAAAGCATTAAATGATATCAAATGGTACATTCTGGGTCTGAGTGAAGTAAGACGAGCTGGAGAAAACATACAAGAATACGAGGACTTCCTTCTATATCACATAATAGGCGAAAAAGAAGGCCAAAATGGGGTAGGATTTATTCTCAAAAAGCACATGGAACAATATGTTGATGAGTTCATAGGAATTTCGGGCCGTTTAGCAGTGCTAAATATAAAGTTACCCAATTACGAAGATATGTGGTCTGTTGTGCAAGTTTACTCTCCAACTGAACAAGCAGACAAAAAGACAATTGAAGAATTCTATGAGAATCTAAACAGTACTATAGAGAGACATACGCATAAAAACTTAATAGTGAAGGGAGACTTCAACGGCCAGACAGGTGAAAGCTTGCCAGAAGAAAAACGTGTTCTCGGACCTTTTACATATGGAACTCGACGAAGCGAAAATGGAACAAGACTCATTAATATGTCTTTCGAAAACAATCTCTATATTCTAAACAGCAAATTTAAAGAGAAAGGTTCAAGGAAATGGACATGGGTATCACAAGGAGGCAAATACAAAAATGATATTGACTTTGTTCTCACCAACAAACCAATGTGTTTCACCGATTTAAATGTTGTGAACAAATTTAATTTCAACACGAACCATAGAATGGTCAGGGCAGATCTCACACTACGACATATAAAGACACAAAGACACAGGAGGAACTTTGTTGGTAAGTTGAGTATTAAAAACCTAAAAGAAGCTGCAAATAAACTGACCGAAAGATGTGCAGACCTTGAGAAAGAAACCAAGAACCTAGATATTCAACAGAAATACGACTGGTTTGAGACTTCAATCAAACTAGCAAAAAGTACCTGCACTAATAAAGAAAAGAAGAAAAGCTATTTATCAATAAAAACAAAAAATCTACTCGAAGCAAGGAAACAAGTAATCAGTTCCAGAGACACAGAGAACCGTAGAAAACGCATATCAGAGCTGAGTAAAGATATAAAACAGAGTATGAGAAGGGATAGAAAACAAAACAGAAGAAAAAAATAGAAGAGCAAATCATTAGAACAGGAGGAACAAAAAAAGCAAATAAAGTACTGTCAGAATCAAAAGATTGGGTTACAAAAGTTAGAAATGAGAAAGGAATAGAACATAATAGAAGATCAGACATAAAAGATATTTCTACATCATACTATAAACAATTATATGAGAACACACAAGAAGAACCTGGCGAATTAACAGTACTAAACGATGATGAGGATGAGAGTATACCCTATATACTGCAACGTGAGGTAGAAGTGGCATTACAGTCCCAAAGTAAAGACAAAGCCCCAGGGCCAGATGGCATTTAAAATGAAATCCTATTAACGGCAAAAAATGTCCTGTTACCAATTATCACGAAACTATTTACTGAAATTTTCGCAAACGAAATTATCCCGATACAATGGACGAAATCTAATATAGTATTGTTATATAAAAAGGGTGATAAACTTAATATAGGTAATTATAACCCGATCAGCCTTATGGCCAACTTATACAAAATATTTGCGAAAATACTGCTAAGAAGACTGGAAAGAAAATTAGACGACAACCAACCAGACGAGCAAGCAGGTTTTCGTAGAGGGTACTCAGTATTGGACCATATACATGTTATGAGGCAGATTATAGAAAAATCCCATGAATACAACCAATTATATTACATGGCATATATAGACTACAGCAAGGCTTTCGACTCTTTATTTCACAATAAGATATGGCAGGCCCTAAAAGAACAAGGTATCGAAAGCAAGTACATAAGGATACTGAGAGAGATATACAAGAAAAGTACAGCATGCATACAGTTAGAAAAGAAAGGAGAACCATTTAGCATACAAAAAGGTGTGCGACAGGGCGACCCGCTATCCCCAAAACTTTTCTCTGCGGCCCTTGAGATGATATTTAGAAGACTAAATTGGTACGGATATGGAATAAGTATCGATGGAACTTGGTTAACACATTTAAGATTTGCAGACGACATCGTTCTCTTTGCAAAAACCCTACATGAACTGAATGTCATGGCAAATGACCTGGCATTAGAAAGTCACACGGTGGGATTGAAAATGAACATGGAGAAAACGAAAGTAATGACCAATGGACCTAAGAATGAAAACATCAGGGTTGGCCAAAGTGAGATAGAATACGTTGATGAATACATCTATCTGGGCCAAATGATCTCACCCACAGACAACATGGAAAAAGAAATCAACAGGAGAGTAGCAAATGGACTTGGAGCCGGGTTGCCAAGGATAGAAACGAGTGGAAAAGGTTGGAGGAGGCCTTTGCCGATTGGCAATCAGCAGAAGACAATCTAGATTTTATATGACTTAGATTAAGAAATTGTATTACGTACTGTTGAATAAATGGCTTTATTATTAACTCCAAGCATACTGAATGGACCTGCCGCACTACTACTAGTAGTGGCAGGGTGCTGCTCAATATCACTCAGTCTCTCGACCTGACTGTCTACAGACCCCTCGCTGTCACCCACTATCCCGACAACGTTAACTACGCTCCTGACGTGCTAGACTTTGCTCTAGTTAAAGGAATCTCCCTCAACCTTAGAGCAATCGAGTCTCTCGATGATCTAGGATCCGACCACCGTCCTGTATCCCTCCTTCTTGGCTATCAGCCACCTCCAACTCCCATTTCCAAAACCTACACCAACTGGAAGGGCTTCAAGAAGTCTCTAGCCTCGGCTATGGACCCTCCGGACCCTCCGGACCCTCCGGACCCTCCCATAACCCTCTCTTCCGACGTCCTCTACAGTACGGGGAAAATAGACACCGCGGTCGAAAATCTCACCTCTCTTATAACATCCTCTCTTAAAGAGAATGAAAAGGTTGTCCCGGTCGCTAAAACTAGTCTTCCCCAAGATATTAGCTTATAAGCTGCTCAAAGGCAAAATAACTGCCCTCCGTAGAGCTGCACGCTGTTCCACTCCCGAGTATAGACTCGCGGCCCATCGCCTTCAACGCAAACTCCGTTACCGCCTCAAAGATTTCAGAGGCCGACTATTGTATATATATATATATATATATATATATATATATATATATATATAATCGGAATCTGGGAAACGGCTCCAACGATTTTCATCCCCCGGACGCTTTCGGACGGTTTCGGGGACAATAAATCGAGCGATCTAGCTAGGATTCATTTTTAGAAAATGTCGTTTTGTCCATGTTTTCTGGCAATGAAAAACTGCTACAATATAAGAATGTAAATTTTGACACTGTAATAATGATCGTAATAGCTCAAGTGGATATCGGGTAATTTGTATCTAAATATAATTTCCAAAACACACGATTTCCGAAAAAGATACCGAGCAAAGCTCATTCATCCAGGTACTATTATTTACAGGTGAAAGAGCTCGCAACCCTAGTTATAGCTTATAAATTTATAAGATTTGCGTTTTTAAGATTTTCGTTAACGAAATACGCTAGTTCCTAACTTTTTAATGTCAGTTGGGTCGAGCGGGTTGACTTTAGGGCTGCGTTTGAATAACGTACAGCCTAGCAATATTTTGCGAAATTACTTAAAGAAATTGTTTTATTTCTATGTGGTTTAATTTTTTTTCTTCTTTATTTATTCTTTTATTTGTAATTACAATGTAAATATTGTAAGCTTTATGACGTGGTAGAGCCATGCTGCAGTTATATTAGTAGTATAGTTGTAGCACGAATGGGTCGGCTCGACCGGGGAAGGACCACGCTCTTACAGAATACCAGCGTCAAATAGTACCTTAATGCTGCTGTGTTTCGTATGGTGAGTGTAGAGAACCTAAGACCTTTTTTGGTAGACTGTGTGCTCGTTTGTCATCCTATCCTATAAAAAAATATGCAAACATTGACATTAATTACCATCAAATATTTACACAGTTGCAAATTAAAATTGCGTGTGAATTGTGATATCTCTGAAAGTTACCCAACCACGATGACCTTACATATTGTACCAAAATAAAATCTTACGTAACATTTAGTGGAGTTTTATAACACCTACGATAATTTCAAGATTTTGTCTATCAACGTGGCCCAGTTTGGCCAACATTCGAGGTTTAGAACTCATATAGAATTGGCCTTGAATCAGTATTGTATTGTGTTTGCACAAGTAATAAAACCAATCCTGGTCATCGTCAATAGTTCTGGTTCCGTATAGAGGCAGTGTAGGAATATCCACTACCTCCTATCGTCCCGTAGATGTCGTAAGAAGCGACATAAGTGTCTCCTTAATTACCACTAAAATTAAAAAACTGCAGTTCGCAACCCACTTGTCATACGTGGCAACTATGGCATATCTCGCCCGTATGAGATAATCGTTGGGGGAGGCCTTTGTTCAGGTTAATGTTCCACATTGTTGGTTTTCGGGTCTGGACGTATGGTTATTGTCCCCGAGTCTCTAACAATACATCTTTGATATTTATCTAACATATACTCGTAGTTTACGGCCAGTGGGTGGCTACGCATTTGCGCGTTCACTATTACTAATTTCCTTATTATCCTCCGAGGAGGACACTATTTAAATTAATAAAAGTTCTAAAAAAAAGGAAAAAAGTAATAAATTTGATAAAATTTCGGTCACATCGGTTAATCTCATCGGAGACTGCCACAGGACAGGATTATATTGCCACGTGTCTCTGTACTTTTAGTGATGTCCCGCTGGCACAACTGTGAGGACCCACAATGATGGCGCGGGCGACAGGGCTTGCATGTTGCTACGCCTTAGTTTTTACGTATTTTTGAGACAGCGGAACAAATAGCTTAAAAGCTGGTCTGTCCCGCTCCAAGCCGGACGTATGGTCACGTTAACATACGACCATAGACCCATGAAGTAATCCGTATGTAACTGTCTATAAGGAAGATTTGCATAATCGCCTCGCATAGTAGGCGTATTAGCGGACGCAGTAACAGATATCTATTATGTCATTGCCTGTCAAACCTTTATTGAAGAAAATATCCTATAAGCAGATTGAAAGCGAAAGTCTCAAAGGCCGAAATATTAAGAGGACTGTGAAGTCAAAGTTCAAAAATGCTATCTATGTCACATCGCTCGCTCCGTACCGCCGTCGTGCGATAGAGTTGCAAATGTTGGAAGTAATTGCCTACATTTTTTAAAAATATTTGTTTGTTTCTGTCGATAACGTGTTCACCCCCTATATATATATATATATATATATATATATCCAAGAATTGCTCGTTTAAAGGTATAGGATTCTTTTTGTGTCAATTAGCGAATTGAAGGCTGCTACTTGGGATTTATAAAACTACAAAGGCTACCAACAAAAACAATGAGGGTTAATTCGACTTAAAGGCTAGGTATCAATCATCATCATCATCATCACAGCCCTTCACAAGTCCACTGCTGAACATAGGCCTCCCCCAAGTAATGCCACAAAGCACGGTCCTGAGCCACCTGCATCCATCGACTTCCTGCATATCTTACCAGGTCGTCACTCCATCTAGTGGGGGGTCGCCCTACACTACGCCTACCGGTACGAGGCTGCCACTCGAGAACCTTTCTTCCCCATCGGTTATCGGTTCTTCGAGCTATATGGCCGGGCCATTGCCACTTCAGCTTACTAATCCGTTGGGCTATGTCGGTCACTCTGGTTTTACTGCGGATATCCTCATTTCTGAGTCTATCACGCAGAGAAACTCCGAGCATAGCCCTCTCCATAGCTCGCTGAGCGACCTTGAGCGTCCTCATACGGCCAGCAGTGAAGGACCACGTCTCTGATCCGTAAGTCATCACTGGCAACACGCACTGGTTGTACACTTTAGTTTTCAGAGATTGAGGTATACCTGACGAGAAGATGTGTCGTAATTTCCCGAACGCTGGTATCAATAGTATAGAGGTATCAATACTCCCCTACTAAATCGATGTATATGATAATACGAAATACGCTTTTATAGACGTTCTTTACATGGTAGAGCCATGTTGCAACTACATTATGTTTGTAGCACGCATGGGTCAGCTCCACCGGGGTAGGACCACGCCCTTACAGCATACCAGTG